CTTTATTATCTGTCTACTGTATACTTTTACACCACATCTCAGAGGGAAATGTTGTACTTTTATTTCACTACATTTATCTTACAGCTTTAATTCATACACAAAATAACATTTTTACACACAAGACATACTAAGAGTTTATGAAATCAGTCACAGGGACATTTTACTGCTTTAATATTAAGTTTTTCCTGATAATACTTTTATATAAGTAACATTTTCCATGCTGGACTTGTAACAGTATTTCTGTAGTTTGGTATTAACACTTTTAGTAAAGTAAAGGATCGGAATACTTCTCCCCCACAATCGTTTTCTTTGAGTCTTGTGTTTTGCTGAACTAACTTGTTTTCTCCTCCAGCTGCCGACCATTATCGCCGACAACGCCGGCTACGACAGCGCCGACCTGGTGGCTCAACTGAGAGCTGCACACCAGGAGAACAAGACCAACTTCGGACTGAGTGAGTGAACACAGATATTAATATTCATCACCTGAGAGTTCCCCTTTAAACATCCAGTGTCATCCTGAAATGCCACGTTTGCACATCAGTCTGGGTCTGTGCGGTACACACAAGCACAAACGCACTTTATGTGAAACCAAACCAGAGACGACCTGCAGTGCAAATGTCTTTCCATGGTCGTTCCTCTGAGCAAAGCCGTAGAGGATGAAATTCCTCTTGCGGAGTGCGCTCAGATGCTCTCTGAGGATCCATCCCAGAGTAGAGCTTCCTGAGAAACAGCCAGCGAGACGGCCGCTGTGCAGAAACAGGAAGCTCCTGGGACGGTTCTCTGTAGAGCACAAATAGAACCTGGGAACAGCGAGAGGATCCCGAGGCGCCACATGGCAACACAAACCCAGTGGGACCTGGTCTAAAGTCCCCAGGGATAAATCCAGAGGTGGAAGAAGTATTCAAATCTTTTTCTTGAGTAAAAGTAGTACGGCCGCAGAATGAATACAGTCCACTACAAGTATAAAAGTCCTGCATTCAAAACCTTACATTTGTGAAAGTATGTAAATATTGTCAGAAAAATACGCCTAAAGTAAAAGTAGCCCCTGTCCAGTAAAATGCTCCCTGTCAATTCTTTGTTTTTGGATTAGTATTGCTGCTGACTAACACTGAGTAGAGCTGCAGTGATTAATCAATTAGTTGTCACCACTTTGAGTCCTTTTTTTTTTTTTTTTTTAAGAAAAAGCGTCTAAATTCTCTGGTTTTAGTTTCTTTAAATGTGAATATTTTCTGGTTTCTTTTCTCCCTTATGGCAATAAAAACTGAGTTTAATTGGGTTTTGGACAAAAGACATTCGAGGACGTCATTTTGGGCTTTGGGAAACACTGACTCACATTTTTCACAATTACAACTAATCGAGAAAATAATTAGATTAATCTATTATGAAAATAATCGTTGGTTGCAGCTCTAACACTGATGCTTGTTTTTCCCTGCAGACATGATTGACGGCTCAGTCTGCAGCATGGCAGAGCTGGGGATCACAGAGTCCTTCCAGGTGAAGCGCCAGGTGCTGCTGAGCGCCTCCGAGGCCGCCGAGATGATCCTGAGAGTCGACAACATCATCAAAGCTGCGCCCAGGTCGGTCCATCACGCCTTTGTCTTGTGTCTCTATCTGTATCCTTGATATTTCTAACTACAACAGGATGTCTGTGATTACATGAATTACGTGAAATGTATAATCATGTTTTTAGGAATATTTTTTTGTTTTGTAGCGCCGAGAGATCTGCAAACTCTTTCCTTGTGGTGCGTTCAGGTGCCGCTCAGCTGCTATCTCTCATGTGGCATTTAAATTACAAGCTACAATGTTCAGAAACTGAATATGAAAGACAAACAATAATAAAATTTGTTTGTCATAAATTTGGCAGTTTTATTTTTATTACAGACAAAATATTTTAATACTTCAAAGGACTTCAGAGTAGGATGACAGTTCAACAACATTTCAAAACACTGCAAAATATGAATATTTGGTTGCATGCCTTGGAAAATGGATGGAAAACCACCGATATGGTCCTTGAAGTTCCTGGAAAAAGGCAGTGTGTTGAGATTGAAGAAAAGTGTTTTTTGTTTTGCTTTTTCTGATTACCAGTTACTGAGGCCCCATCCACACTGCTCCATTTTAGTTTAAAAACGGAGAATTAAAACAAATACAATCTTCTAGCTGCGTATCAGAGCTGATCTCTGTCTATATTAAAACGACAGAAAACACACACCTAGCGGACGTTCAGGCGTTCACGTACACTGGGAATGCGAACATGAAGCAGATGGTCTCTCTCTACCGTAGTTACAGAAGATTTGGTGAAAGAATTTTATTTTGATTTTAATTTGCATGGACCAATAACAAGCTGGGACTGTGACACGGGAGTTAAAAACAGATATGGAAAACAGACAGAGTTGTCGCAAAGTAAACACGGCGACGTACAGGTCAAAAACTCTGTCAGTAGCATCGTGTTTCTGCTTTGCACGACTTGTAAGACCCAATCAGAGAGGCGAGCGTGAGCGCCATTGCTTCTAAAGTTCTGTTTTTGCCTGTCTTCACTAAAACGGTACCCAAAGTTTTAAAACGAAAATGCAGTAGTGTGGATGGGGCCTGAGTCTTTAAAATGTTTGTTTACTGACTGTTGTTTGTTTGTTTTTTGTAGGAAGAGAGTTCCCGACCATCACCCCTGCTAGAGGAAGAGGAGGATGAAGATGACGACCATGACTGAGGGGATCAGTTTTGTTATTTATCACCTCTGTGTAGTTCAAATTAAAGAAACGCCCCGCTGTCTTTTCTCTGTTAAACTCTCACTGTAGAAGCACTGCGCATGCTAGCTGGCTAACGCTAGCTCACCATCAAGACGAGGCTAACTTCAGTGGCTCAGCTAATGCTAGCGAGACGGAAGCTAATAATGTATAGCTGATGTCTTTAAGAAAGGCTAGTGTGAAGCTAATTGGCCGGTACGGTTTGTGATGCTAACATTAGCTGAGGTCACAGCACTTGCCGGAAGCTGGTTACGCTAGCGTTAGCGGTATGCGCCGACACAGCTCAAAACGTTTGGAAAAAGTTTGGACGTTGTTTGTTTTTGTTTACTGAAATAAATAAACCAATCCTCATCACTGGCTTTGTTGTCTTTGTGCCTTAAGTGTTAGTTCAGATAATTAAAGCGTCTGACTCGATGTGCGATCGCGTCAGTCTCACGGGTTCGTAATGTCAGTTGAAGCGCTTTGTTGAAAACTCTCCATCCGCCTGCACCCAATTTTGTCCATAATGCTGGAGTCAAAAATGGCTTTAAGCATGTTCTCTGCATAATGTTCTACAGCCCACATGGATTTAACGGGACAGTGCCAGGAGTTTGTGAAAGTGGGATTCAGCCATAATGTGGCTTTGGACTAGTGGTCGACCGATGCAGCTTGTTCAATGATCAGTGTCGATATTTAGAGAGCAGGGTGCCCGGGTTGCAGATTTAAAAAGCTGAAATCAAAACAAAGAACAGTCGTGTATAATATAATCCCATTATTCCTGCAGAGTCCAATCTACACGTTATCTCAGCCGTAACGTGTTGTTTCAGATGAAAGCTTTATTAATGAATGAAACAGAAACATACTTTGGGTTCTGCTGTAGATTTCATGGCGTGGCCGCTGTTTTAGGGAGCGAGGGGAATAGTTTACAAACGAGCTGTTTTCTGTTCAGAGCAGAGTTTTCTGTGGGAGATGGGATCTCTCTTTGGGCTTTCTTTCACTTTGCAAACCTGTTACATGCACAAAAACTGTATACAATCCTATAAAGGAGAGGGCAAAAAAGCAGAATACCACTCTTTAATTTTAAAGGACAAATGATTTGACCTTTACTGTTATTTACATATTTTATCGTGATAACGTTTTTGGCCTTCTGTCGCACAGCTCGAGTGTTAAGTGGATGGTCAGCGTTGAAAAGGAGCGTTGAATAAAGATGCTTGCGTTGATTTCAGCTCTTGTATGTGGGTGTTTTATTTGGAATGTGGATCTTTCAGATCAATTTGAGAAGCACCTATGATCTCATTTCTCATTTTATTGTGTGTCATGTAATGTGGGTCTTGGTCTCAGCCCCTAAAAGTCTTGGTGTTGTCTCGATAATCTCTGGTCTTGGCCTTGACTACCTAACGCTTCTTTTTCATATTGTTTTCAGGGTATTTTGTCCGCCCCCTGCGTGTTGTTGGCAGTGTCTGCCTCATCAGGTCAGAGTGACTGAGACCTCAGAGAGTCAACACGCTAAAGTTACCCAACAAGACTGGGTTGTCCACACTGAAACCACACAGACCTTCAGCTTTGAGTAGATTTGTTTTGTTAGCCATAAATGAGACTAAAATCACTTCCTTATTCAGTCTTCCCCACAGCATCTATACAATTACCAAACTTCAGACACTACTTGCTAAGTAGGACATGACAAGTTTGTATTGATAAGGGAAAACAGTTTCTCTATAAAACATTTTTTTTTCCAGAGCTTTCAACCTCATCTCATGAGCTTCCTCGGTGGATCAAATGTCCAGAAATACAAGTAAATAGACCTTGACTCCAGTGGGGGGAAAAAAAACAAGAATTTCACCTTGCAGGTCCTCACGCACAAGACGCACATCATTCAAACTGGAGAGAAACAAAATAAAACTCACAGGTTAGTCTTTCTGCTGCTCCAACAATCGGCAAACTCTGGTTGGGTCAAAAATAAACCCTTCATTCATCATGTAAGATGAGAAAAGGAACAGCCGCTGTATGGCTCTCCTTAAAGCCAACATGCACTCTCACAGATGTCCGGACTGCCCAGCACTCGGATTTAATTATCACTTTCTTTTCCAAATCCGACCTTTACCCGGACTGACTAAAATCACTGTTGATGAATGTTCAGATTCTCATATCATCTGTTTCATTTTTACTTTTACATTATTTTTATTCATCAGATAATTATTGATGCATCAAGTTTCAGATTACACACGGTCTTTGCTGCATTTGTAGGCGATTGAGGTTTTTTTGGGGTGGATTTTCTCACAGAGACTTGGATCCAATCAGAGCAGCAGTGAATAATGATAAACTCCTCATCGTCTGCCAAACTACCAGTCTGACGGACAGAAGACAGACGGACATGTGGAGGCTGGTGCTGGTGGTGCTGTTGGTTTGGACATGGACAAGCTCGGCGCTGGTCAGGTAGGAAAAATAGCTCACACCTCCATTAATATCTGAAAACAAATACAGTAACTCTGTACTCAAGTCTTGTGTTGGGGCCTCCTTTTTGTTTTTTGTTTGTGTTATATATCATGAAAGACGATTGGCTCGTTAATTAAATTACAGATTATTTATTTATTTTGCTATTATTGTCAGTTTCAGTTCAAATGCATCTCAGGGTCCCAAATATTTTAGTTTGAGTCGGGTTTGTTTTGAAAAAAACAGTCTCAATTTCTTTCTTGTTTAAAGGAATAGTTCGACATTTTCTAGCTGACAATTAGTTGAGAAGATTAATAACATACAGCCAACACTGACTTGGAAATGCAAGTTAACTCTTTATTTTAACTCACAAATTAAAGTTTATAAAGTGGATATAACGTCGGTGTTGTAGTTGACCCAACGTTGTTTAAGTTGATTGAACTTTTTTTAACTGATTTCAGCTTCATACTTTACTACAAATAATTATTTTACTTTATCAATGCAAGAAAACTTAACTAGTCTACCTGACATACATTTCTGCATTATTCTATCTCACAGTTAAAACAACTTAACCATGTTTAAATGACTTTAAATTTCAACTCAAGAGGATGTAGATTCCAACACTCTCCACCTTTCTTGTTTAGCACCAAAGTGTCTATATTTTATTTGGAATTTGAATACACAACTTATCTGCAGTGTATAACCAGTTCATAATGTCCGTTCTTCAGCTTTGCCATGGTTCAAAGAAGACAGTTTTTCACAAACTGACGCAGCAATTATTATTTCCTCTCAAGTATTGTTTGCTCCCCGCACACCCACTCTGTCTTTAACATATCTGACAAACGTCTCAAGCAGTCAGCAAAATGAATTGTCCAAAGTTTAACTTTCAAAAACTCATACAGCCGAGTTCAAAATCTAAAACATGTCAGAGCTCTTAGAGTTATAAAGAAGAAGTAAATGGACATAAAATGAGTTAGCTTAGCTTAGCTTAGCTTAGCTTAGTTACTTGAAGCACAATGTGTCGTATTTACAATTTGGGTTATATATGAATATAACCATTAAACTTTAAAGGTGCTGGGAAGTGGCTTTTGTTATCTTTGGCTAGCCAGGCTAGCTGTTCCCCTCTGTTTCCAGTCATTATGCTAAGCTAAGCTAACTGGCTGTTTTACTGTACGGGATTTAAATCACTGGGACAACTAAAATGTTTCCTCCCCAGGGTCCCTCTGAGGCGGGTGCATTCGATTCGTTCCCAGCTGCGAGCCAACAACCAGCTGTCGGAGTTCCTGAAGCATCACCGACCCGACATGTTTAACCGGCGCTACGCTCAGTGCTACCCGCCCGGCACGCCGTCACTGCGACTCGGACGCTCCAGCGAGAAGATCTACAACTTTTTGGACGTAAGAACAACGTCGACTGTCCCATGTGCTGCTGAGCAAGGCACTAACCGCCATCTGCTCAGGAAGTCACACCTCCTTCTTTTTGTCTTTGATCTGTGTTTTTAAAAATTGTGCACAGATATAAGTTTGCTTGATGCAGTGCTTTAAAAATGCCTCTGGGGTCCGTTTTTTAGGATGGATTTTTGTTAATTGTTTGTATTCACTAAACAAATTTGCAGAAAAACATGCACGATTTGTTATTGTCTATTTTCTTTTTTGTTAATACACGTCATACTTTTTGGTAAAAAAATGAAACGGTTCAAAATTATTATAAAACTGTCTTGATGTCAGTTTAGGGTTCAAGGTTGTGCTTTTTAAAATGATCACTTTCCTCGAATATATTACTGCTACTTCAGGGATATTTCACAATAAAGTAAGTTATTATTTTAAATAAATAAATCCATCATTAAATGTATTAGTACATTTTTCTGTTGTTATTCTTTTAATATATAATTAATCAGATTATGTGGTGATATATTTAGGAGAAAAACTATTTCCTGGTCGAAGAATAGAGTCATGGGTGTGTGGGGACAGTCGTTCTTGAAACCACCACTAGATGGCAGCAAAGTAAGGAATTTGTAAATCCTACACATAGTGGCTGTTTGTGTTTGTGCACAGGGTATCTGAATTTATGAGTATTAGGTCAGACATCAAACCAGCAACCATTTCACATAACACCATGTTTGTTTGTTTTTTAATCACAGCCATATTGCTGTGGACTTACACTGTGTGTCTCTGTTGTGCGTCAGGCTCAGTATTATGGTGAAATCACTTTGGGGACTCCGGAGCAGAACTTCTCTGTGGTTTTTGACACTGGCTCATCCGACCTCTGGGTGCCGTCATCCTACTGCGTCAGCGAAGCCTGTGGTACCCCAGCTCTGCACAACACTACACAACACTACACTACTCACCAGACAAGTGTTTGTATTGGTGTTTTATGAGGTTGTGTTTGAGGGTCAGGGCAGCATGACAGCAGAAGTTTAGTGTGTTCCTGATAAGAAGTTCAAGGCCTCTTTCTCTCTCTCTGTCTTTCTGTGTGTGTTCACAGCGTTGCACAGGCGTTTCAGGGCATTTGAGTCCACTTCTTTCCATCATGATGGTCGGATGTTTGGGATTCACTACGGATCAGGACACCTGCTAGGAGTTATGGCCAGAGACACAGTGAAGGTCCATATTAATGTTACAATATCAAGAAAGACTGTATTCGGCAAATGTGCGTACGCTTGGGGTAAACTGGTGGCCGAATAGTAAAAGACATACCTCTGCAATGTCCCCGGTTCAGTTTAACTCGTGGAAGGATTTTCAAATCTTAATCGATTTAAAAAATGTGGGATACCCCAGAGATAACGATAGAATAAACTTATATAAATAAATTTATATTTTAATTATAAGCCTTTAATCACCTTTAAGTTATTTACCGTATTCATCTGCCTCAAATTTCAAGATAAAATACAATTTTACCGTCCCATTTCAATCAACTTCAAGAAACATCCTCAAAAGTGTAAGAGGTTGTCGGCAAAATGAGACTGGTGTTGACATCGGTTGCCACAATTGCTCGCAAAATAATTAAATCTTCTCGAGAAATGTAGCTGGAGAAGCTGAAGATATACTCTTTATCAAATACTATTCTGTTATAAGTTGTCTTCTGTTCCAGATTGCGGATCTGACTGCCCTGAACCAGGAGTTTGGGGAGTCAGTCTACGAGCCCGGTTCTGCATTTGTAATGGCCAGGTTCGACGGGGTTCTGGGGTTGGGTTACCCTTCCCTGGCAGAAATTCTCGGAAACCCTGTTTTCGACAACATGCTGGCACAGAAGATCGTGGAGAAGCCAGTCTTCTCCTTCTACCTCTGCAGGTGCGACCTTACTGGTTTTAAAGAATTTAATTTCAGGGACTTTTTCAAGCTAGGCCTCACAGGTTTATCTGGAGGCTCCTTGTTGATCTTACGTGTAAAGGTTTCATTATTGTGATGAAAGCAACTTTCAAGTCACACTTGCTTGTAGTTTTTAAACTGGAGTCCGAGGTCCTCCAGGAATCCCTAATCAAGTTGAAAGATCCACAGAGATGTGAGTGTTTAGGGAGTTTCAGGAGAGGTTTGGAAAGGGCCCAGGGTTTCCAGGAAGTTCTTTAAATGTTTCATGTGATGCAGAGGGGTTTCCAGGGATCTCCAAGGGTTTAGGAGGATCCAAAGGGTTACAAAGTACCTTTGCTGTTTTGGGGGTCCAGTGGGGTTCCTATGGCTTCAGATGGTATCCATATGTTTTAGATTTTTCTAGAAGGATCCAGGGGATTCCAAGGTGGGCCAGTGGTTTCAGAGAGTTTCCCGGTGTTTAGGAAAGTCCAGGGTATTCAAGATGGTTCCTGAGGGGTCCATGGGCGCCCAAGAGTTGCCGAGGTCAAGAGTTTCAACGTAGTCCAAAGGTTTCTAAGAGCTTCAGAGAGGAATCCGAGACATCTTGGGTCCCGGGGTTCTTGAAGGATCGTGTGTCTAGACAGTAGAGTCTACCCTACCTTCTAGACCAACTCTAGAGGCAGAGATTCAGACTCCAGCAAAACTCTGTACTACAAATAAAACATGAGCATAGACGTGATTGTGCACAAATGCAGGAGTGAGAAAATAAACCTTATCTGGTTTTTACTGTCTTGTTCAAGGAGTGCTACTGAAATTTAATGGTAAAATAACATGCTGACTCTTGAGACATGGTTTAAGATTTTCGGTTGATCCAAGAGTTTTCAGCAGTTTCAACGATTTCACAGCAGTCGATTGGTCCCAGTAGGGTCCAGAGGACTCTGGGACCATATGGGAGTCCTCAGTGGTGTGATAAGGAAGTGTTTGGGGCCCTTGACTGAACATAAAGAGAGTATAAATAGCAGTTTGTTGATTTGTTGATTTCTATCCTTGCAGGAGATCAAGTAACGAAAACCGAGGAGGTCAACTGTTGCTAGGCGGAACCGATAAGGCGTTGTACAAGGGACCGATCAACTGGCTTCCTGTGACTGCTAAAGGATACTGGCAGATTAAGATGGACAGGTTCCCCACATGTTTTTAACGTTGTGATTCTGAGTAAAACCCAATGATAAATTCCAGACCCTGTACTTACAGAAAGTACTGATTTTCAAAAGATTTTCATTGATTCTGGCGGCACCTTTGGCGAACAACGGTAGCGGCTCCTGACCAAATCCAACATCACAGTTGTGTGTGATCAACAATATTATATAGCTTCAGTACCGGAGGCTGCAGTTTCAGGACCCCCCGCGATCCTGGGACTGCAGTTCTAGGACCGCAGTTCTTTTGCGACAGCGCCATCTAGTGGAGTGGCGGTGGTAATGCACAGCAACAGGAAGTAGATTAACCCTGTCTGCTAGCATGTCAGGTAGCTGGCAGTGTCAGAGTAAACAAAGGTCCTAGGATTGTGGTCCTGAAACTGCAGCCTCTGGTACTACAGCTACATACTACTTGTGATCAAAAATATTACATTGTGCAGGAGGGCTGTGAAATACATGCAGCCACCACTAGATGGCAGTCCAAGCATGATAATTAGACAAGGTGCAGTTAATCTTAAAATAAGGATCAATAAGAATCAGCAAAATGTTCTCACCTTTTTTTAATCTATCCTTTAGGAGATTTAGTCCTAATTAAAGGTGGTGAAATTTCTTGACTCTAAGATGCATCTCGATGTGGAAGATTCTTCTTTAATGAAGTGACAGCACAGTTGTTAAGTTGCGTTGTTTCGTTGCAATGTCGCTCTCTTGCATTAAATTGTGGGTGAACGTTAGCTAAAGTTACTTTTATATGTTGGGAGGTAGAGATCAGCCGTGAGGGGTATTAAATAAATCCAGCCCTATTTTGAAAGCGTACACATTTCAAATTTTATGAAATTACTGGGGAAGCACAAACTGGACAAGACATTCTGTGTGTAAAATCCGCCTTACAAAAATGTAATACTTTGGTAATACTACTACTACTTTGAGGAACCACATTAGCCGTTTTCACCCTGAGCTAATGTCTACAACCATAAAGAACACACAGGGTCCAGCTAATCAGCCAAGAATTGATGAGGCGCTGTCAACGTCGCTGTACTGAGGTGGGTCACATAGATACCGGTATTGAAATTATGCAGCTTTTTAATATTACAAACAGTTTTTACTCTGGGTTTTTTAAGCACTATCTACTTAAAAAGGGAGTTCAGATTGGTCTGACTGCTTGTAGTAATTGATGAAAAAGTAGCCTTGTACAGTACTATGGAAAATTTAATATGTTATACATTGAGATGCATTGAGAATCGTTGTGCTTTCACATTGTTGACAGGTGAATCTTAATTGAATCGTGGGGCCAGAAGAAGATTCACGCTCCTAGTCTTAATGATCAGCGAGAAACAAGAATTCACACACCACTCACAAAAAGCTGCCACATGATGATCTCTGTCTATGTTTCAGTGTGGCCGTGCAGGGTGTGAGTTCGTTCTGTCCTCGTGGTTGCCAGGTTATTGTCGATACTGGAACCTCCCTCATCGCCGGACCGACCAATGACATCCTCAGCCTGCAGCAGCTGATTGGAGCCACGCCGACAAACATAGGAGAGGTAAAAAAAAATACAATAAAATTGTTTAATTCAAATCTTATGTCTGATTGTAAACTAGACAATTCTGGAGAATACTTAAAACACAAAAGCGAATTCTACTTTATGTGTGTTTCAGTTTCTTATCGACTGCGCCAGGTTGTCCAGTTTGCCTCATGTGACATTCGTCCTGGGAGGAACAGAGTACACACTGACTGCTGACCACTACATTAGGAGGGTTTGTCATTCTTTGTTTTCTTTAGCTGGAATTTCCAGATGGCTGACATACTTTGTTCAACTGTCTGTGTTGTAAAATGGTTTAAAATATTAGTGAGGATTACATTGTTAGCCAACTTGTGTTAGTTTTAGGAGGTCCAGCTGGTTTTAGGGAGTATACAAGAAGGTCTGGCCAGATATTTTAATCCACGTGCCACAGAAGGCAGAGAATGAAGATTTTCAGACCACAGATTAGTTTCTCGTCTCTGGCTCAGTGTAATGCTGCTATAATAAAACTGCTGATGTAATGCTTTGTTGGCCTAGACTCTCGGTACATAGTTTGAGACACTCCAGAGAGTTTCAGGGAAATCCAAGAACTCTATAGTATCTGAAGGTTTCACAGGAGTCAAAGGGTCATAGAAGGTCTAGGGTTCTAGGGATGTTCCAAGAAGGTTGACGTCCTAAACCATGTGGCCAAGACTCTGCAGGTTTTCACCACAGTCAAACTCTATACCACAACTTAGTTCGATCTCAGAACATGTTTTGTCGGAAAGGATATTGCACAAAAATGTTTTTAATCAAAGGTTTTGCTTCAGTAAATACAGCAAACATACAAATCTGACTTAACCATGCAGTTTTGATGTTTTGTCTGTTTTTATATCTTGTTACTTAGAGAAATGATAATTAATTCAGCCATGTTTTTATGTCTGACATGAAAAATAAACTTTAAATACACAGTATGCTACTGAAATGTCTGTTCAAAAGTCCTCTCTCGACGTCTCTCTCTCTCTATCTCCAGGAGATGCTTGGCAACAGGGAGCTGTGTTTTAGTGGTTTTCAGGCTGTGGACATTCTTTCCCCCGAAGGCCCTCTGTGGATTCTGGGAGATGTATTTCTGACGGAGTTCTACAGCATCTTTGACAGAGGACAGGACCGGGTCGGCTTTGCCCTTGCTAAGCACTCAGGCGAAGACTAACCCATCGGCTATCAATAGCTGACAACTGTAAGATCAATAAATACTATACAATTAAAAAGACAGCTTTTTGTAGTTCTTACAAAGCCACAGACACTTTTTTTGCAACTAGCTAACAGCATTGTGCAGCAAATCGTAGACCCATCCCCACATTACATCACGAAGGACGAACAACCGTTATTGGCTGAATCCTCAGTCATGGCCTCGGGGACACCATTCTTCATTTCTGGTGACACATTGACAAGTGAGTCACAATGCTTTATTTAAAAAAAATGTACAGTTTCTAGCGATTACTTCAGTTACATTTACAAAAACAATGACAAACATCACGATTTCACACAAAGACAGGAGATTTTGTGCAAGAAAACAATTTTCTTCAAGAAACATTTCAAGTCCAGACAGTAATCCTGAGTATATTTAAACAGCAGTCACCGTTCAGCTGCAGGTTCTCTGATGGCCACCAGATGACATCCAATAAAATGCTGCCTGTGGTGAAGTGAGTGAAAACCCCCAATCTTTCTGTAGAAATAACAGGTTCAGCTTTTGGTTTCTAATTTCACTTCTTCAATTGTGAATTGGTTTATTCTTCCATTAAGAAAATGTTAAGGCAGTTACCTTGTATGGCAGATGTTTCAGCCTATCATGCTCAGCTGTGGTGATTGTTGCTTTCTCTTCCCATCTTTGCCCATGTTGCCCATTTTTTTAATAGGCAACATGGAGTTAAAAATTGATTACGAGCATTACGATTTTTCAACACACTCTCCCTCTCAGTTCATCGCACATGGACACATGGTCAAGACCTCTCGGCCAACATCCGGTTAGACTTTCTAAATAAAACTAGCGGTTAATGTTGCCAAACGGCATTCGGTTGGTTAGGTTTAGAAAAACATCATGGTTTGGGTTAAATTAACTGTTACTTACGTCATTTAACTTACATAAGTCAAGTAACATTACTTCCATAATATCAGCAACTTACGGAACTCTACTAAAAACAATCAGTGTTAACTTTTTGTTTTACACGGGAAATGAACACCCGTCCAACCAGTTATTTATATGCTACACCTGCTTTTAGCATTCATATATGACACTACAGGGCTTCCCCCAGTGCTTTGAACTATAATGCTAAGGGGCTGCCCAGTGTGGTTCAAACAAGCAAGGGGTCTTGACCATGCGTCCGTATATGATGACTTGGGAGAGAGAACGGTTTGGTTTCTTTTGTATTTTTTGTTTTTCTTTGGTGTACCTTTGTAGGGTTAGGGTTTGTCTCCAGTGAAAAAGCTGGCGACAAGCAGTAGCTCCCTTCAGAGGCTGGACCTTACTAAGGGTTTCCTGGTTCAAGAAGTCAACTTTCCTCTCAGTCAAGGTTGAGACTTCTCTTGTTGGGTAATGTCGTTACCCACTCAGCGATTGGTTCTGTTTGGGCAGTATTATGTTATGTGTGAGTGGTTCTCATTTGTTTCCCCCAAGCTCTGTGATTGGGAGTTGGGGTTTTTGATCTCGTCGCTGTTACTGGTTCCTTCCTTGTCGTCGTCCTCAGTCCCTGGCATTCCCTGGAACTCGTGGTTGTACTCAAGGTCAGGGAGTTGCAGAGTGTTCGTAGTCGGACCAGGTGATCGTCGGGATTGGAATCGGGCCAGACCTCGTCGCCGCCTTCCCAGAGCCTTGGGGCTCGGCAGGCTGCGGACCGAACCCTTTGACGACTGCCTTGAGAACTGGAGGGAAAACTGGCGCCCCCGTGGTCGGGTCGGTGGGCGATTCTGTAAGTTTTGCGTTGTCCAGCGGAATTCCTTAGGTCCCATCTGGGTGGGGGAAACACAGGCAGAGCTGCTCCTAGAAATACAAAGACCACCGGGGGGATATAAAGGAGAGAAGGGATACGATTACAAATAGTAAATGAATTAAATTGAATTTCTAAAGCTATGACTGCGTGTGGCCCACTATCTCCACAGCATAACGGTTTCAATTTGGACAAAGTTTGGCAAACAAGTAGTGGAAAGTCAGGAGGTGTGACACTTTGAGAAGAAAACCAAAGACTTACCTAGGGGTGTCGGAACCCAGTGCCTCCTCAGTTGGGGAGAGGTCCAGTCCATTTTGAGGTTTTGCCGCTTCACTGTTGCCAAAAGAATCCATTTTGTGACAGACGTCACTGGACAACGGCGGGCTGACAACGAGGCGAGGGAAAACAGCAGAGTGCAGGCTTTCTGGGGATGGAGGGTTGCTGCTGACCTCCCTTAAGGTGGACAGGGTGTCCATGGCAGAGGGCGGCATGACCAAGGACGAGGGTGGACGCACGTCCTCTGGACCTGGATGGACCCTGAATTGATTGGACGACAAAATGGATGGAAGAAGGACCGACTGTTAATACAATTAGACACACACAGTGCTAATCACTGAGCCAGCTCGGTGCCCAATAACATACCTGATGTAATTGCAATCGGCCAATACGGGTACTGTACCTGATGTCTGGGAAAAAGCTTCCTGTTGCGTCACTGCTGTGTCGTTTGAAGATGGGTTGAGGAGGTCGGAAGTCAGGAGGCTCCTGAACGCTCAGCAGCCGGCGGACACGACCCAGAACCTGCAAACACAAAGGAATATGACTGTAGAAGAAATATTCTATAAATATATACACTCTTTCCCTGGAAGGCTGTCTTCTTCCATTCAGGACTGTTCAAACAAACTAGGACCACGTGAAGACCAGGTTTAGAAATCTGCACGTAGAGCCAGCTCGTTATCAATCTGTGATATCTATATCCAGTTTCTCACAAAAGAGAGTACACCCTTCACTTTTCTATAGCCCTAACCCACCCCCCGTTGTTGTAAATATTTGATTATATCTTTTCATGTGACAACACTGAAGAAATGACACTGTGATCCAGTGTAAAGTAGTGAGTGTGCAGCTTGTATAACTGTGTAAATTAGCTGTCCCCTCAAAATAACACATCACACAGTCGTTAATGTCTAAACAGCTGGCAACAAAAGTGAAACTGTCCAAATTGGGCCCAATGTGTCAATATTTGTGTGGCAAAACATCATTTGACAGAGGTAATAAAAAAACGTAGTATTACCGAATCTTGGCGCCAAGTCAAAACAGAGTCCTGTTGCCGTGGACGACTTTCACCAAAGTCAGTATCATCAAACTGCAGGATGTCAGACAGTCTGGGAGACACATTGGACAAACAACTTTTATTTTACTGAAGGAGCTACTCTAAACATACCAACTGCGTTACACTGAAGAGTAACACAACACACTGATTTCCATAATGATGATGGAAGACTGCAAGCTCTGGAGGATAATGGCTTTATTCAACAGTTAACTGCTGACCATTGTGTTGTATTGTTTCTGGTCTCTGTTTTATGTTGGTCTCCACTTCCTTTTAGGCCTGAATCATATTGCATGTACTGGATGTACCTATTGTATGTATTTTAATGGCATTAAGTAATATTTTAAACTCAACACTGACAGGGGTTGCAAATTAGTCACAGCTAGAACCATGTAGGCATCTACTTTGTATACATTTTAAGGCAATGTATCATGCATTGTAAAATAAATAAGTATCCTAAATAAAAAAGTGCCTTAAAAGTATCCTCCAAACACATTAAAGTTAAAACACTCATTGCGGAAAAATGCCATAAAAATTAAAAGAGGGTTTCATAACCCGACAGCTTGCTCTTTGTGTAATATGTGTGTGAGTATTTATGTGTGTGTGTTTACCCCATGTCGGTGGTGGAGCCCAGGAACGAAGGGATGCAGTAGTCTGCAGCAGCGAGCGTGTAGGGCGGCCTCGCCTCGCTGTCGTTCCAGTACATGTCTTTGGTCATATGAGGCAGGTTCATATGCATCTCATCTACAGCCAGCAGAGACACCTGGAGGGACAGGTAAACAGGAAGTGATGACATTTAAATAATTAATAATAAGAATAATAATTAATAATTAAACACTTATTGCTTGGAAACATTAAGGAGCAGTACTGTTCCACTAGCCCCCAAAATTAGTCCTTTCTGTCAAGATAACTGGGTCTCTACTACTGGACCAGACGGTAAAACCTTCACATGTCAGAGGTCTTGAGCTTCTCTCTGAGCGCTCTGATTGGCCGCTGACCTGAAGGTTCCTGTCGATGATCCAGTTAGCTTCAAAGTCGTCGTCATCCTCTCCAAACGGGTTGATCAGCTGCTCTGCTACCTAACAGCAAGGTACAAATCATATGTGGAATTCAGTCACACTGTAAAGACGTGACTTTACACACAAGTTGAGACTGTTCTGAAAACCCTCCTTGTTTTTAAGGACATTTGAGGTGTCATTCGGCTGCATCCTCTTCTTTCTGCCTGTGGTGGTCCACCCCAGATTTCCCCAAAATGTGATCAGAATATCTTCAGAGGATCAGCTATTTTTTATTTAATGACCCCCGCAATTTTCTTCTAGCACTACACCCAGGACAAACTTTAAGAGGTCACATTATGCTTTTTCCTTTTCCTTTCACACTACCTTGCTTGTCAGGACCCGCCCTACTCTGCTTCTGATTGGCTAGTAGTCCTTACCTAGCTACTGCTCAACATCTAACAAAGATCACACAGAAGTGAGATGCTTCACTCGTTAGCTAAAACCTAAAACGGTGCGTTTAACACACAGGCTGAAAAGAGGAGCTGCAGCAATGTGCAGTATGACAAAAAATATTGTGTTTTTTGAAAATGAAACCTGTTCTGGTACAACCCCTAAAATTTATGAACCTGAAAACGACCTCTTTAAATCTTTAGTCCCACTACTTGTGAGGCTTGTTTCTGCCACTCTGGGTCACATCCACAAAGTGAGTTATTAATAACTTTATATGGTGCGTTATTAATATAACAGGACAAAGTTCAAAAAGGAAAACAAGTCACCCACACGTCTGTTTATCTTGTCTCAGTCAGGAGGGTATTTAAATGTCATAAACTGTTCTCTTCTTTTACAGTAAATTTATTGCAAAGCTACGTTTCAGTTAAGCAAACTTCATAATTCTTTTGCACTCCTGAAATAGTCCCCAACCAATGCACTATTTTGTCCTGATTGTTTGATAGAAACCACGGTGAG